AAATAGATCATTCCTATTGGAGGTCCAGCTTATAAATTCACCTTGCTAATAAAAGCCTGCTGCTCCTGTGCATGTGTGCAGACACACAAAGCGTGTGCCATTGATCCTGTAAATCAGAAAATTTTAAAGTGCGCAGGGCATCCGTGATTTCCCCTGCCTTCTGAGGCCACCGCGAGGAAATAGAAATACTCCGGAGGTAATGCGGGTGGCAGCTAATACCTTCTAGTGCAGTTGTCTGCAGCACGCGAGTTGTTAAATATGTACTGGAGGTTGAATGATTTCTTTCTTTCTTTTTAAATTCTTCCCTCTCTTTTTCTGTCTCCCCGCAACCATTGTTCAGAAGCAAATTGGAAATCTGGTAATTAGGCCCTGACTCACAGTGTAGTATTAAAGTCCCGAGCCAAAGTTCAACACCCTGAAATGAAATTTAAACCAATTAATCTGTTAGATTTTTATCGCTTGTCCATGTTTTCTCAGCAATTCCCCCAGCACGTGGCCTTTGATCAACTCTCATACAAACGCTAAAATGTGTGCCTGCTGCTAGCAAGATGGGAATGACATTAACATGGTACTCATAAAACAATCAGAGCAGAGAAGCCCGCAAACAGGCAGGGCATAGTAATATTTAATAAAAGCGCACACATAATCTTCAGAATTAGCATTTTGTGCCTTGCAGTACCTTTGGGAGAAGAGCTTTTATTTGTGGAGTGATCATTATTATAACAAAGAGCTACCTAATAATTTCCACTTTAACTGTGCAGTGTGCCACAAGCGTTTCAGAGCCATTATGCTAAACTGGTGGGGTAATCATGTTATTGTCATAGTTTGAAGGAGGGAAAATCTCCTCTACTTTGGTGGCTGGTGAAGGGTGGGGGAGGGATTAAAGAAAAGAAGCAGGAAAAAAACCCCAACAAAACAACCAAACTTATTTTTAGTGAAATTTAGAGCCAGAAATTGGCTTATCGTCCTGTGGACAGAGTGTGAAAATTCATCCGTGAGGGAGAAAGGCTCTTTTATTAGAGCAATTAAATCAAGAATTAACTGGTGAAAAAACATACTTTTGTATTCACTAATAGCCCCTCACTCCCAATTTCATAATATTTTCTTGCAGATAGAGTTGTATTGATCATTGCATTTCTGGATTGAATTGAACCCATTTATGAGTCTTTTCACTCTCAAATTCTGTAGAATCCATACAGTGCAACTACTAAGAAATGATCTTTCTCTATCTGCCCTCTGCTTCTTTCTGGGTATCCTGCATGAAACAAAGAGAAGCCCACGGCTTCCTCAGGTGTTCTCTGAGCATCCTCAGGCAACACCTGTCCAAAGGGGAAAAGGGAAGGAGAGTTTCAGGGTCCACAAGACCACGCCACTGGTTTTGGGTAGTTTGTTGGCTTTTATAATCGATTTGCTATCAAAAGTACAACTGTTATCAATGCTCCGCTCTCATTTAATTTTTGTTGTAGTGCATTACCATATATGCTCATTGAAAAATTTATACAATGTAAATATCAATAGAGTAAAACTTGGCAGGCTTCCTTGCCTGTTCAGCCCACTCTAGTCACGTTACCTTGTCATAAGGCAGTGGACAACTGGTATACCTCCTTTCTTCCAAACCTTTTCCAGCATGCCTGTTTCACATATGACTACACACACACACACATGCATACACACATTCATACCCATGATCATTTATAGCATTTTAAAAATAAGCAGGATCACTGGGTTTTTTTTTTAGCTTATGAATTACTTTTTCACTTACTAACATACTTTGACATCCCCTCCGTCATTTCATGGAATTTTTCATCATTCTAATTTTTTCAAAATTCTTCATCTTTTCAAATATAGAAATATTATGATTTATTTAAGCACTCTCCTTTGGGGGGCACCTCCTGCTTGATTTTTGTTGTCAGTCTTGCCATGAACATGGTATGTGTAGTTCTGGCCACACTCAAAGTATTTCCTGGTCCTCTTTAGGTTCATTTGTTGCTATAGGACAAAAGTATAAAATGGCAGCTAATGAGTTAAAGCCAGCTCAGAGACATTGGATTCTTAAGCAAATACTGAATTAGCCCAACATTCAAAGATTAGGAAATTTCATGTAAAAACTATGTTCCTGGCTTCTTTTGAAAGATCAGCAGGCTAGAGAATTCTGGCCCTGCATTTGCATGGGATTGCCAAAGGCTGGAGCTGAGCTTCCCTGGCTGGCTTTCTATGGGGCCTCAATCCCCAGGGCTTTGCTAAAGCTGAGTATCAGTAGCCCTTCATCTCATGCCTGTTTGACACCCTAGGCTGCTGTGTTCATTTCCATTTCTTGTCTTGACCTATATGGGCCTGTGAATTCTTAACAACAGCTCTTGGGCACAATTCCTTTTAGCTATTGTAATATTTTTTATCTTGTGTTTTTGGCATTTTGGAGTTCTTCATTTTGGGGGATTATCTGATGCATGGTTGAATACTTGGCATCCTTGACCTCTACTCTAGCTCTTGAAAGCCAATGGCATCCTCTTGCCACTGTATGTCAATGGAAATGCCCCGTGTCCTTTATGTATTTTTCCAAGTTAGCAGCAGAGAAGGACCCCTGAGCTTCCTCTCAAGACAAATGTGAGCTAATAGACATGTGCATGTGGCACCTTGAGAACTCCTTGGAGTGTAAACTTAGATCTGCATGACTTCACTGCTCTAAGAATGGCATGTAATCTGTGCAGGAGATAGAGAAGGTATTGAAGATGGAGCAGAGCCTTCCTCCAGACAGTTAACATATAAGTGTTTGAAAGCACACACACATGCATATGAACTCACTCACACATGCACACATGCACTTCATACATCATAAACAACAAGTGAAAATAGGAGAGAGGTGTCAAGTGTAAAAGCAGGAGGTCTTGACCATGTCATCATTGAGCTCTTGCTGCAGGCAAGTGCAAGATGCACCAGCACAGCCCTTTGGCTCCCGTTGCACGATGCTAAAAAGCCTTGAGAACGTATTATTTATCTAAATAAGTACATCTGCATGCTAAAAAAATTAACAGAAACATAAATGTTAGTATGTATAATAAACATAATGACTGTTTTGCACCCAGTGTGGGTAATCATTTAATGACACCACTGTATTCTTGCTTTGATATTAGTAGCATTATCATAACCAATATTCAATGAAGCCAATATTCAGTATTTTTTAGAAGTATCCAGATAGGTAGCAATACCAATTCTGTTCCACTCAGGCAACAAGGGTATTGAATTATAAATTTTAAAAAAGAATAGTTGGGTGATACTAATAAAATGTTTTAAAGCCACTTATATTTTAAGAAATTGAATAGTTATTAAATATGATATATCTATACTATTAATTGCTTGGAATCATACATCATATTTTATCACCACTATTTCAGTATTAAACACTTTTAAAGCAAGCTTTTTTTTTTTTAAACTGGGAATTGAACTCAGGACCTTACACTTGCCAAGCAGGTGCTGTAACCCTGAGCTATATCCTTAGTCAAGAAAGCTTTTGTTTAGAAAAAAGAAAAAGTTTTGTGCCTGTGAAACACTAATTAAACCCCTATGTGTGTTAGAAATCAGACAGGAGACATTTATATTGTCTCAAATCAAGTCCTAAGCATTTACATTTCCTTGATTAATTATTTTGTTGGGGCGATAAAGTGGAAGGGAATCATTGACTGAACTTCCTTGTTTCAGTTGCAGATGCGTGCTGTGAGTTCAGCCAATATGAAATGTGTAGTTTGGATGTTTCCAAATTTCTGTATACAATTTTTAAAGATTAATTTGAATCAGAATTAGAGTTGTTCTACTTGTTTTCTGGTGACACGTGAGCAGTGGTCCCATTGGGATGGGCTCACTGTTTTCTTTCCTTCCTACAAAAGTTAAAGTGTGACACTCTGCCAAAGTTGACAAACTCATTGTTTGGCCAGTTTTTCCCCTGTTAAAATTACCTTGTGTTCTCATTGGCTTCAGTGCTTGAAAAGTCAGTCTTGAGTACTTAACGAACTTTTCACTGGGGAGAAGGGTCTCATGCCCTCTTGTTATACAATTATCTCTCTTACTCCAGACTTTGGTTTTATTGCTATTGGTAAAAGTCATCATGAAAAAAAGCAGCATGGTATTGTGGAGTCAGACACCTCAGTGGTTCCAAGGTACCCTAGAAGAGATTTCAAAGATGTAATTCAACAGTTACATTGGTACCTAGCAATTCCACTGAAAGTTTGTCATTCTCATTGGGCAAACCACTGCCAGTCTGTTTGGAATCAAAGTATTTCCCGTCTCCAAAGGCTATTTAAGACGGAAAGGGAAGAGATGAAATTTTGAAAATGTTGTCCTGGGGATTTATGCCTGGGAAACACAAGGCATAGGTCATAGGGAGCCCCGCCCCAGCAATTTAGTTACATAACTCACCCAAAGTGACCTTGTGCTCTTTGAATCTATAAAATGGGGGTCTATGACATTTATTTGAGAAAAACTGTAATGATTTTTAATAAGGAGCGCTGCTATGTTAGTGTTACAGATGGGGAGCATGGAGCGAGCACTATTGCTAGTCCAGCCTGCTCTCTTTCTTCGCTTCTCATTGGGCAGAAATGTTTATCTAAACATGTGTAAGTTTTCTTTTCAGGAGAAATGTTTAATTATGAAACAGTTTTATAAGGTTTCCAGTACATGCCCAAAAAGTCATCCAATTTTAAAGAATCATATTTCACAAATTCAATTTTACTTCTGTGTTATGTTTCATAAGATTTTAAGCTTGCTAAGGATCTGGATAAATTGTATGTGTCTTAATGGAAACAATGAAAAGAATGCTTTTAAGAACTGATGTTGCACCCTTAGGTTTGGGTCCTGAACACAGCTAGGAAACGCTGAGATCTTGAGGGACTTTCTATTCGTGAAAAGATAAAAGAATTTTTTTTTTTTTCTTTTTCTCAAGTCTCCCATCATTAAAGTTTGGTTCTAACAGCCGACTCCTTCTCTTTTTCATGTGTGTTGAAAAGCAGCTACTCCCTGTATCAAAGCCATCAGCCCGAGTGAAGGATGGACGACGGGAGGTGCTACTGTGATCATCATAGGGGACAATTTCTTTGATGGGTTACAGGTCATATTCGGTACCATGCTGGTCTGGAGTGAGGTAGGTGTTGTCTGAACATTAATATCTAATAGCTTGGTCTAGTTGAAGATACTATGCTTGCATTTCTAATAGAATGTATAGAGTTTAGTGGTGCCACCCTGAATGGGCTGGCTCGAGTCTATAGAACTTTCAGAAATTAGGAAGTGTGAATTGCGTTTACCAAGAGTCAGTCATTTCTATTGGAATGACTTCCATCCTCTGGTTCACGAGTATGAAGGAAGCTTCTATTTGGTAATTTGTCCTTGAGCCTGATATAATTTGGAGGTTTTCTTGTATACTGGGAATTGGACAGGAGATACAAAGTTACAAAATGTACAGGCAAAGCTATCCCAGCTTTAACAAGGTGTTAATCTGGGATCGAGCAGCATCATTCAGATGACAGTAGTGATCCCGGTGTGGGTGGGTCTTCACTTGCTCAATGACTTTTCACCAGAAAGTGAACACTGTAATTCACGAGGACATTTTTCATGTAAGGAATTTATAGCTCTCCAGTATCTCAGGATGTGACTGCAACCACAGGACAGGGACTATGTTCTGTTTGTCCAGCACTGTGATTATTATTTTAACGGCAATTTGACTTTTCTGGCAATCATCAGGATTCACCTGAGATCATGAAGCTGAAGCATCACCACTCTACAGGTGTCACAACAAACTTATCTTTGTTGTCTAGCCTAGGTTTCTTAGCCAGCATGCTCAGAGCCCCTTTTCTTTCACCCCACCAAAGCATAGAAAAGAAACAGCGTTAAAGCCTACAAGAGACGGTAGAACTGCCTTTATGCCACTTGCTTTTTGAGTAGTCATGTTAACAGCTAGGCTTTATTGAGACTTACAATTCGCTAGGCAGTGTTCTGAGCTCTCTGCATACATTATGTCACTCTTCCCTCTATACTACTAAGTAAATATTCTGAGATGTATATTCTTCTGATGAGGCTTTCAGGACTTAGAAATAGTTACATAACTAGAAAGCAGCCACCCAGTCTGTGGAGCACAAGAGATGTGTATGTCGTCACACACAGCATTCAGAAGCAGGACAGAAGCCAGACCTTGGATCTTCCGTTTCTACCTCTGGTTGTCCTTCCATGACATCGCAGTCCAACCTATCTGGATGCTTGTGATTTCTCTTGAGGACACCCATATAATTGAGCAGAGTTCAGACTGTGATAGTTGGGCATGTATCTCCAACTACACATCCACAGCAGAGCCTGTGCTTCTTTCTAAGCTGTTCTTGGGCACTTCTCCCTGACAGTCACTCGCTCATTCAAACCCTTGCCAGCTCGTGCTGCTGCTACCTTTATATTTCTCACTCAGGGAACAAGAGATACACACTTGGCTAGAGAATCAAAGCTCTCATGGAGCTGAATCAGAAAAGGGCTTCGCAGCCCATGCAACTGAACGTTAGTCAAGTTGGAATATGCCAGGCTAGAAAGGTGGTCCCAGCTCCTCTTGCCCACTGCCCTTAAATATTCACTGGAGTCACTGGGGTGTGAGTGAGAACTGTCACACACGTGGCCCATTGTGCTGCCAGCCTGGTGACGTCACCCTACTGTGCACCGAAGTCCTCACGAGGACCACCTGTCCCAAGTCTGGTGCGCTAGAGCCTCATGTCTTTCTATCGCTCTTTCTGTTGCTTTTCATAGAAGTCGGAAGAAGGTGATAATAAATCTAAAATACGTTCCCCTCTTCTTGTCATCAGAGTGAGGCTGCAGTGGAGTCAGAAAGGGCAGTTTGTCTCAGTGACCTTCTGTGGAGAGGGCGGGTTCTTCTGAGCTTCATAGAAGAGCTGTTCCCACCTTGGCCTAAGTGGACTGCACTGGCTGTGAAAAAGGGGCGCAGCGAGAGATCACCAGCTTGCTTCTCTGTCTCGTCACTATCCTTGGCGAGGCCCCCACTTCATTTCCCAAACGTGTTGCTCATTAAAGGGGCATTAACTTAGATTTATTCAAATTGCTTTCAATTTTTCCATATGGAAAAACTGATAGAAATTGTGGGGAGGAAAACGTGCCAGAGCAATGCTACTGTCCTGCTCCCTGTCCAGCCCCTGGCTGTGAGTGCTCAGAGCCCCTCTCCATCTTTCCCCCAAAGTCATGGTGGTACCCCAGGAGGTGGTGTGGGCCTCACGCTTCTTCATCCTCTCCTCCTGAACTGTCCTCAGTTGTGCCTGTGTCCTAAATTAGCTGTGACCCTGTTCTGAAGTAAACTGATTATGTAACAGTTTCCCCAAGTACTCCAGCAGCTATTCTTTTAAATTAACCAAACCCACACAGCAGTAGCAATTGGGTATCTGGATGAGGAAATTCAATGTGGGCTGTGACCCTCATGACGTTCTGAGAATCAGAATATTACACTTTGCAGAAATGCGCCTGCTTGTGTTTCTATTTCCTATGAGATAATTAGCAGCTACAATTTCCTTTCCCTCTCTGTGTAGAAAAAATTGGGTGCTGCCTAAAAACCCATTGTACAATGCTGAGAAATGGAGAAATGGCTCACATGGAGGGTAATCGTATGTAGGTACTTAGTGTGGTATTAGTTACTCTTGTTATTTTAAGTTTACATATGAATGACAGCCTCAGAAAGGTTAAGAAACTGGCATAAGGACTCACAGCCAGGCAATATTAAAGCTTGAATTGAACTACAATGTATACTTTTCAGACATAAAAGTTCTGATTTTTTAAGGGAGCAAATGCAGTTTTGAAGAGAAAGAAGAGCGACAGGAGAAAGAGAAAAGGGATAAAGGAATAGAAAACAGTGGTGCAGGCAATGGTAGTAGTAATGTTGCCTTTTGCTTATAATTACATAAGACCTTTTATTCTTGTAGGAGAAAAAATGTTTTTGAAAAATCAACTTCTCAAGGCATGTGTTAGATAGAACCAGAAGTTGATATAATGAATATTTAAAAGATGATAGCTATGGGAAAGTTCTAAGAAAATGTTTAGTTGGATTAATATTAGGTAACGTTCACTGAGCACATAGTTCTTGCTGGGCAGTACGTCAAGTGGCTGGAATGGCTCTTAGTAGCTGTGGGTGAGGTTGTTCTCATTCTGTTGATGATGAACTTGCAGTTGTTCAGCTAATACGTTGTCCAGTGGTAGAGAGAGGATTTGAGCCGTGGCTCTAGGGCTCAGCTTCTTAGTCTTTCATGATTTAAGTATGTGCCAGCTTTCACCCTTGCGTATCACCTTATCAGACCAGGGTGTTATGCCTGCCTAGTGATGCCTCATGCTGGAGTGTCCTAACAGACACTGTCACCTCCCAAGGTAAAATGTGAGAGGCACATATCAGATGAGAGAGGTAAAAGGAAGGCTCTTCGTTTTCTAGTTGTGTACAGTTTTGGTTAGGGCCACTAGTTTCTAGGATTAATTTATCCTTATGAAGTAAATGATACAAGACTCAGGTTGGGCCAAGACAGTTCATCTTTTTGGGCTTCATTTAATAGAATTAGAGCCCTACCTATCCACAGTCTTTGCCACTAACTCACATAATCCTAAGGTCCTGGGCATCTCTAAAATCCAAAACATCTAATTTCTACTTTGTTCTCCATTTCCTCATTATAGTCTAAAGCACCAGGAAGTAGGCTGTCAGGCCAGGAGAAGCAGATAAGATTTTAGATTAGCAGCTGATGCTGTTATTTGAGGTCTGTTTTTAGCTGAAGAATTTTTAAAAGAGGGAAAGAAAATGGGGCTGGCTTAATTGACCCTCTTTAGTGCTGTTCCTCTATCAACCCAATCTTTCGCAAATGAGTAATTCAGTTTAGCTCACTGATTGCCCCCTAAGGGTTGGAGAAAAGAAAGGTGGCGTCCTATGCTCCTACCATAGGACTGCCTTCGGTGAGCTCCAAAGTCTACAAGGCTTTCTTGTGACTTGGATTTGCCACCTTGGTTGTATTGTTTCTTGCGCCTTTTTTCTCTTCATTCTTTTCAAAAGTAAATTCCATTACTGATATTCTTGAGAACCTTTGCTTGCCTTACTCCAAATACTTAAATGAGAAATCTTTGTTGTGCTTTATATAGAAGTTTATGAAAACCAGTAGGGGTGATGTATGTTAATGGTTTATATGGGTTGAATTTTTTCTTAACCAGAAATGCATTTGGTTGGTTTGCTTTTCTATCCATGTGGGAGTTGGAGCAGAGAGGGGCCCCGCTACTGTTTTGTGGCGCTCATCATTATTTTAATATCTCTTTCTGAATTCCTTTAATTTCTCAATAGTGAGTACTGGCTGGTTGGCTTTCTGGTTGTCTAACACTGGGATAGGTAGCATGGGTCATTAGAGCTGGGCTTTGTGGGTTGTGATGTTTTATTTGGAAAGACAACTTGCTCCCACGAAGCAAATTAGAGTGTTGCATAATATATTTATATAATCGACTATTAAATTTGTGTGTGGTTTAAAATTCAAAGCAGGGTTCTAGATGACAGAAAGAATGGAGTAGTCAGAGAAAGACTCTTCAAAACACCATGTTCCAGTCATGTTTGGATTGCTCTCTGTGCTACATATTTTAGGTTCTCATGACCCTTTTATTTCATCATAGTAATATGTGAGAAAGTGCATACAGCTTAAGGTATTCAACCTGGCTGTAAAAATTCTACTATGTTGGGATTGGGCAGGAGCAGACAATAATACCCGAAGCAGAGATTATGGTTGCATGGGGTTGCTGTGGATGGGAGACATTCGAGAGACCTTGAGAATTATTGCAGATGGTCTAGATTTAGGCCACTCAGGCACTGGCCCTTCGTCTCCCCTTTTGCCGATGAATACTTTAGACCTCTTTGAAGTCAGTGCAGTGTTTCCTTTTATTTAGAACTTATTCCTCCAAGAGTACCCCAAAAGAAGAGAGAGGTAGTGGTGGCAGGTGGAAGCTGTTTGTTTTCTTCTACAGTTGTTCTTTCCTTTTTGTACTTACAGCATACCAATATGTATATTTGCAAAAGAATTCTCTGAGCTTCATCAAAGTGGCTTAATTAGACATCAAATCAGATTTCTTTACTGATATGTCTTCAGTCAACAA